TGGAAAGGAAGTTGGATCAGATTCGGGTAAGAGATCGGAAGCTGTGGGTGAATAGGCCAAGGTATGATTCTGAGAAGAAGGAAGTTGGGGTGAAAAGAAAAGGAAGCGGAATGATGGCTGTAACTCAGAACAGAAGTTATGCTGAGGTGGTAAAAGGAACACAAGAGAAGGAGATGGCAGGGGATCAGAGCATACAAAGCATGGTCATCCGAAACAGAAGTAGAAGTAATGACAGAGAAAATAAGAAGCATGAAGGGCAAGACAAGCATAGGAGACTCAAAGATAGTAGTAGACACGAGCACCGGCAAACTGCTAATAGGAAAATATGGAAAGAAAGAGGAAGGGGAGAAACCTGGGCAGGTATGGAGTTCAAAATCAAACCGGAGGAGTATGCTTGGCTCGAAGGCAACTATGTTGGAATAGTGCATTATGTGGAGATGGTTCGCAATCTACAAGAAAAATTCTATATGGAGGGGTACTTTTCTTGTCAAATTCGAGCAATGGGAGGCAAAATGGTTCTGTTAACTGGGCAAGACAAGGAGGAAGTGAAGGACTTAGTTGAAATGGCAACAGATTGGCTAAGGCAATGGTTCGAAGAAGTGAAACCGTGGTCATCACAAATGACAACAAATGAGAGATTTGCGTGGATTAGGTGTCAAGGAGCACCAGTTAATGTCTGGGGAAGTGAATTCTTTTCAACTATGGGTAGCACATGGGGAAAATTTATGTGCTTGGATAACAGTACAAGCAAGAAGGAAAGATTTGACATTGCTAGATTTTTTATTTCTACTTCAATAATGGAGACAATCAAAGTTACAAGGGAAGTAAAAATCAATGGAAGCATATTCAAGCTGAAATTTACAGAAGAGGAATTCACCAATTGTTTTTTCTCTTTGAAGCATGATTTTATGCCTTCCTTTAATAGTGACTCCGAAGATAATGAAACATGGTCCACCGGAACGGAGTCGGAGATGCAGGATGAGGAAGATGAAAGGAGGGAAAAGGAGGTTCAAGCCGGGTGCTCAATTGATGAAGATGATGATGTCATAGGACGTAGGAGAGATAAAGAAAGAAGAAATGTAGTTCAAACCAGCAAGAAAGTAGGGGATTCTACAGAAACCGTTGGTGACAACCTGGAGAAAATTCAAATTTCAAATGCAATTGTAAGAAGCAGGTGGACAAACGGAGTGGCTACAGGACAGACGGTGCAGGGCTCATTTTCGGAAAGGAGAGAATCAAAATCAGAAGAAAATATTCACAAAATGAAGCCCAGTAATCAGTCAGTGGTAAGGCCCACTTTGTAGGAAGAAAGCCCAAGGGTAATGGAGTCCACAAACGTGGAAGAGGCCCAAAAAGAAACTCTAAAGGAGATCTCAACTACATCCCAAAATAGAGACATTTCTAGAACCCGTGAATCTGCAAAGGAGAAGGGCGAGGAAGAAGAAGATGCATTCTAGAAGGGGCATGAATCAGAGAGAAGCCGAATAGAAGAATGGATCTGCAATCAGCTGGAGGAGATCAACTCAAAAAATGGAAGAAGGAAGATCAGAAGGTGTAGCTCGGTGTACATCCAACCCAGAAACAGTGAGGCAACGACGGGGAAAAAAAGAGGAAGAAAGAAGAAGAACATGCAGCAGATGGAGGAGAGATCAATTCCAATCTTCATGCCGAACCAAGATGGGAAGGTTGCTGGAGATTCAGTAGGGGACAGTGAGATACATAATTGCAACAGGGCATTGAAGAAACAATGGCAAAACCAACTTGCAAAGGAGATATGGGACTTGGCAACGCAGCTTGGAGCGGTGGCAAAGAATGACAATGATGTGGTTCAACGAATTGAGGAGATGGAGGCTAGAGACCAAAGCGCAAAAAGGATTATGGCAAACCGAGAGGTTGAAGTCGGTGGGAAGGTATGTGATGCACCCAATGATAATTATGTCATTTAATGTTAGGGGTCTTGGAGGGGTAAGGAAGAAAACACAGATTAGGGAGTTAGTTGCCAAAGAAAAAATTCAATTCCTAACAGTTCAAGAAACCAAGATGGATACAGTGGGTAGGAAGTTCTGTAGAAGTTTATGGGGGTCCAAGGATATGGATTGGGTAGCAAAGTCTTCTAATGGAATGTCTGGAGGTTTAATTTGTATTTGGGACACTAAAGTATTGAGAAAGAAGGAGACTATAGAGGGTGACAATTTTATAGGGGTGTTTGGCCTGTG